TGATTCCCTGCTCTTCACAGGCCTTCCAAGAGGGATTTTCCCTCAGAAATGAGGCAGATTCCTCAGAATTCCATGGATAAAGCTTTCCTGGGAATGGGTGGGGAGTTTTGGGAATGGGGCAGCTGGAGCAGGGTGGGAAGCTGGGCTTGGCTGGGCTTGGCTCACCTTGGCACCTTTGGCTCCGGGAGCGCCGGTCCGGCCTGGAAGGCCCCGCAGGCCCTGGGAATTGAGGAGATCACAGGGAATGAGGGCAGAGGAGGAATTCTGGGCCTGCTGGAAGCTCCCTCCCCATCCCTGCTCATCCCAGCCTTTATTTCCCAGGATCATGGAGTGGTTGAGGCTGGAAGGAGCTCTGGAGAAGGTTTCTCCAGCTCCCAATCCATGCAGGGCCATCCAAAGCTGTTCCACCACCTTCCCATCCCAAGGAATGGGATTTCCCAGGATCTCGTCCATGTCCTACCTTTGTCCCTTTCTGCCCGGTGTCACCGGCGGTCCCAGGGTCACCTTTCCCTCCCTACATGGAAAAAAAAGACAAAGGAGATGAATTTTCAGGAATAACGGGCCAAAATCCCAGCAACGTGCTGGGAGTTTTTATGGGAGCCTCCCTGTTGTGAGGGAACTGATCCCAGGAAATCCATGAGGGATTTTGTAAAGGATTCCTTGGTTTCCTGATCTCCATCAGGCTTGGGGTGTGAGGGGAATTGAAATTTGGGCACTGGTAAGAAACAGGGGAAAACTCAGACTGGGAAACACAGGGTAAATAAGAAATTTTGGGATATGGACGTGCTGGGAATGGGAGGAGGACAAGTCCTAAAAACCAGGCCAGGATGTGCATTGGAGACTTTTCCAGGATTTGGGAAAGACCTTGAGGAAGACCCTGAGGCCTTTAAGGGGTGGGAAGGGAAAGGAATGTGGGATCTGGGAAGGATCAGAGAGGAATGTGGGGTTTGGAAAGGCCCAAAATGAATGTAGGATCTGGGAAGGAGCAGACAGGAATGTGGGATTTGGAAAGGCCCAAAATGAATGTAGGATCGGGGAAGGAGTAGAGAGGAATCTGGGAAAGTACTAAAAGGAACATGAGATGCAGGAAAGCACAGACAGGAGTGTGGGATTTGGGAAGGCCCAAAAGGAATGTGGGGTCTGGGAAGGCCCAAAAGGAATGTGGGATTTGGGAAGGCACAGACAGGAATGTGGGATCCAGAAAAGCACAGACAGGAATGTTAGGTTTAGGAAAGCACAGACAGGAATGTGGGATTTGGGAAGGCCCAAAAGGAATCTGGGGTCTGTGAAGGAGGAGACAGGGAAGGGGCAGAGAGGAATGTGGGATCCAGGAAAGCGCCAAAAGGAATGTGGGAAGGCACAGACAGGAGTGTGGGATCCCAGAAAGCACCAAAAGGAATGTGGGATCTGGGAAGGAGCAAACAGGAATGTGGGATCAGGAAAGGCACAGACAGAAATGTGGGATTTGTGAAGGAGCAGAAAGGAAGGTGGGATCCCAGAAAGCACAGACAAGAATGTGGGATCTGGGGAGGCACAGACAGGAATGTGGGATCCCAGAAAGCACAGACAGAAGTGTGAGATTTGGGAAGGAGAAGGGAGGAATGTGGGATCCCAGAAAGCACAGACAAGAATGTGGGATCTGGGAAAGCACAGGCAGGAATGTGGGATCCCAGAAAGCACAGGCAGGAATGTGGGATCCGGGAAAGCACAGGCAGGAATGTGGGAAGGTACCAAAAGGGATTGGGAAGGTACCAGAAGGAGTGTGAGATACATGAAAGCACAGACAGGAATGTGGGATCTGGGAAGGCACAGACAGAAATGTGGGATCCCAGAAAGGACAGGAATGTGGGATCTGGGAAGGAGCAGAAAGGAATGTGGGATCTGGGAAGGCACAGACAGAAATGTGGGATCCCAGACAGAACAGGAATGTGGGATCTGGGAAGGCACAGACAGGAATGTGGGATCTGGAAAGGCACAGACAGGAATGTGGGATCCAGGAAAGTACTAAAAGGAATGTGGGATCTGGGAAAGCACAGACAGGAATGTGGGGTCCCAGAAAGGACAGGAATGTGGGATCTGGGGAGGCACAGACAGGAGTGTGGGATCCAGGAAGGCCCAACAGGAATGTGGGATCTGGGAAGGCGCAGACAGGAGTGTGGGATCCCAGAAAGCACAGACAGAAATGTGAGATTTGGGAAGGAGAAGGGAGGAATGTGGGATCCCAGAAGGCACAGACAGGAATGTGGGATCTGGGAAGGCCCAACAGGAGTGTGGGATCTGGGAAAGCACAGACTGGAGTGTGGGATCTGGGAAGGCCCAACAGGAGTGTGGGACCCACATTCCAAACAATCCTTCCACTCACCGGCTTCCCCTTCTGTCCCTGAAGGCCTCTGTCCCCTTTGGCTCCCTTGATCCCGTTCTTCCCATCCAGTCCTGCTGCACCCTGCC